TAGTGCTATAACTTTGTAAGAGTACAAGGTCCACAGATCTTTATAGAGTACAAGTGAAGGATACCACTTTCATATGCTTCCTCTACAGAAGATAAAATGGGAGCAAACTAAAAAAAAAAGCTATAATACCAATACATTAGGGAGGAAAATTCTGCTCAAGTTGAGGATAGTTTAGAATTTGCACCAGCTGTAGTTTCTGAACTGTCTTCAAGGGCAGCCCAACAGGGAGTGCATTATTGTAGTCTAATCTTGAGGTAACTAAGGCATGGACCACCATGGTCAAATCAGACTTCTTGAGGTACGGTCGCAGCTGGCGCACAAGTCTTAACTGTGCAAAGGCCCTCCCAGCCATCACCAACACCTGCGCATCAAGCATCAGCGCTGAATCCAGGACCCCCAGACTGTGGACTTGTGTCTTCAGGGGGAGTGTAACCCCATCACACACAGGTTGCCACCCTATACCCCATTCGGTCGAGTGACTGACCTGGAGGACCTCTGTCTTGTGAGGATTCGATTTCAACCTGTTAGCCCTCATCCAGCCTATCACAGTGGCCAGGCACTGGTCCAGGGCCCGAGGGGCTTCCTTGGATTTTGGTGGAAAGGAGTAGTAGAGTTGCGTGTTTGCATAGAGATGGTAACGAACAACAATGGCAATGAGAAAAGAATGACATACAGAATTCTGGGTAGTGCCACAACCAGCATCAAACAAGGAATATTTATGGTACAAATGGATGTAGGAAAGAAAGGCAAGGCTGCAAACAGAATAGTTACAACCCACGAAATCTCAAAATACCATGTCTCCACTTTGCCAGACCTATTGGGCAGCTTGGAGGAGCTTTACCCATGCTCGGAGCCTTTTCCCCTCATTCCACCCAAGTACAAGCCTCCAGGAAGAAGTAAAGTGTTACGTAAGACTTCAACTTAGCAAAGTATAAATCTTTCTGATTAATGTTTAACCTTTGTACATTTCTGAGTTGCAGCGTAAAGGGTGAAGTTCTACTGCGTTCTGAGGAATGCACTGATTGCTACTGTGCATCTATGCTGCAGAAAATATATCAATGTACGTCTTATTTTTTATAGAACTGGATCTTCAATGGCCGGGGAAAGATTGACCAAGCGGCTGAAATGAGTATGAACGCTATTCTAGAAGAGACTCTGATTAAAAGATCTCAACAAAAGAAAAGGACGTCTCCTTTAAATTACAAAGAGAGGCTTTTTGTGCTTACGAAATCGATGTTGACATATTATGAAGGTCGACCAGAGGTAAGAAACGGGGTTTAAATTGTACTTTTTTGCCATTTCCTGAGAGAATGTGTGTGAACCATTTGGCAGGAATGTGGTTGGTCTACTGCTTCGGTTTTTATGACTCCAAACTGGCACATAGTGAAGGAATCACAGTTCTTTATATTACTAATTCACTTCTTGCATAGAATGATTTTCTGAAAATGCAATGAAAATAGACTTCTTCTCTCAATTTCCTTTATTTTTTCATAGCAATATATATTGGCTGAACAACTGTTGTTGCTATATCAGAATTCTGTAAAAAGTGAAGTAGCACTTCCTTTTTTCAAATGTTTATTCCCCACAATATACAATGATCCAGGGTGTTTTTGCCTTCGACAATACATTGTCGAACATATTGCCTTTGACAATACATTGTTTTACAATGATTTTAAAAAAACTAAAATCACAAAATTATCATATATTATTTATAATAATTTCAAAATCTATAGTAAGGAGGAAATGTTTACAGTAAGAAATATTGCCCTTTCAATATCTAGTTTATATTTTACCATAATATGGGGAAAATGTATTTCTTAAAACACAGTCTAAATGATCATGCACACAACATGTTGTAATTTTCAGCTTGGAATGCAATGGACATATCTTTGGCTATTTGACTTACATGGTGGATGATATCTAAAAATTTTACTGGCCATTTTCATACTTCTTAGAATACAAGCGGCGAGGGCCCATTTTAATCTAATTTTGCTCTATCAGAGCTGCAGATTTTAAGACTACAGCTGTCATAATCTTCCTGAAGAAATCTGGGAGTTGTAGTCCAAAATATAAATTGGCTACAGGACAATTCCAACTTGTGCTACTTAAGGTAATTTTAGAAGCTCTGGAAGCAATGGTAGGGAGCCATCCTACATATTTTTCTGAGATCAGTGTTATCTCTATTTTTGAGTGTGTATGTGTTAAACTACTAACATTGTCTACTGCCACGTGTAGTTCAGACACACATAGTATACATAGTTTTGGGTTTCTTTCATGTGATAGATTGATGAATATTTATGTATTGTCCAATAATTAATGTTCTGAAGGTGGCTGTAGTCCTTGGCATAATGTAATAGGTATTGTTTCTGAAGTCCTGAATGATACTGAGCCGAACTAGTCAATATCCGAAGTTGATGTATTCTCACATCACTAAAGTACTGTGAGCCAAGGCCCTCTGGAAGTTCTGTGATAAGAGTGTGGACAATAGGAACAGTGATGTTAACTATGGAAATGGATGCCTGAGTGAGGAAGAATCTGGAAAAATTTAACCTGAAGGCTGAGAGAACCAGCAAATGAAGGGAAGCTTTTTTATGAGCAAATAAACTGGAGATGTTTTTGCCTGCTCCAAAGTCTTTAGAAGTAGTCAGCCTGAAAAAGCAGACTATGAATTTGGGGCTGGAAACCCTGGGTGGCTGTTATATGAAAAATTAGAACTCGTTGGTGTAAAGGTTGCGTTCTTAAAATTGATTGGAAACATTTGTCCACAGAGCTCATGCATTGCAAAACTGCTGTATATGTAACTCAGAATTTATTTCACATGACTGCACTACAGGATTGTGGCAAAGTTGAAGTGGTGTGGGTCAGTTGGTGACCAATTAAAATTGCATCAAAGTTCATAGGGAGCCAGCATCCCAAAGGCAGCAAGCTTGAAGTTCTAAGGTTAGAAGGAAATAGAGTTTGGAAATGTTTTTCCCCACAAGACCCAAAATGATGTACCCTAGCTTTGAGAAGAAACACGGTGTACTTCTTCTCTTCTGTCTTCATTCAGGGAGACAGGAAGGATCTGATTGGTAGAATTCAGACTTCCATAGTTTAGGGATGGGCTTGCTCGCATTAAAGTCCAGACAGGACTTTAATGCGAGCACAATTGGCTTTAAGAAACCCGTTTGGGCTCACATTGGAGTCTGTACACGCCCCAGAAACCCTGCGCTTTCCTGGGGGGGGGGGGAGAGGGAAGTCTGGCAGAGCACCCACCCCCAAATTCTTAAAAAGTGAAAATAACGTACCTAGCCGCCATTCCCCTTCTCTGGAGCTCTCCTGGTGCATAGAAATGATGCACCAGGAGAAGGGGTGCCAGGAGTGATTATTCTCCTCTTCCCCCCTTCTCCTGGTAAGTCATCTCTACATGCCAGGAGAGTTCCAAAGAAGGAGGATGGCGGCTGAATAAGTTATTTTCACTTTTTATGGTTTTTTTGGGAAGTTTTGGGAGGGTGTTAGAGCCCTCTTGAATATTTTGAGCTTATGGAGCCTGGAAAATGGGAGAAGGCTGTGCAGACTGCCCACTCAGAAGTCCCAGGACTTCTGAGGGGGCAATCCAGACTGCACCCACAGCTGGAAAGACACAGGTCTTCTGAAAGACTCAGGACTTATTTTGTGACAAAGCAGGGTTTTCAGATGTGTTTAATGAAATTTGAGAAAGTTCAGAAATTCTGAAGTACAGGGCTTCTCAAACTTTTCCACTTGCAACTTCTTTTGGCTGGGGTGCACATATCTAAAACAGCACTATGAGATGTTCAGAAAATGTTTATTGCTGCCAGTTTTTTTCAGGACCCCAACATTGAGCTAAGGGGATCACATTTGGGGTCAGAACCCACAGTTTAAAGTGCTAAGGTAGTAGTAGTTAAGGTTGCACAATAATCTTTGGGCTACCCCACACAGGCAACTTGTGTTTGCATGATGTAGCTCCTTGATGCTTCTTCATGCTTCCTCATTCAAAGGCAGACTTTTTAATGAAAACTCAAAAAAGTGGGCACATTTTGTTTTTGTTTTTTCCATGTCAGGAGCAACTTGAGAAACTGCAAGTCACTTCTGGTGTGAGAGAATTGGCCATTTGGAAGGACATTGCTCAGGGGATGCCTGGATGTTTTACCATCCTGTGGGAGGCTTCTCTCATGTCGCCCGCATGAGAAGCTGGAGCTGACAGATGGGGGTTCACCCCGCTCTTTGGACTCGAACTGCTGACCTTTTGGTCAGCAGTCCTGTCGGCACAAAGGTTTAACCCATTGCACCTTACTTGTAACATGATTTGTGGTGTTAGATGCTTTCCCCATCTTGCATTACAGATGTGTTGCAATCCTAGCATTGTCCCTCCCCCCTCCAATATTTTCAAGCATTCACTTGTAATGTCCCCCACCACTAATCCTCATTTTTAACTTTTATTTTAGGTACGGTTTTTATAATATTTATATTGCATTTTTTATCTTTTAAAGTCTCTATAAAAGTTTATGACTATGGCACTCTTGCTAGAAATTTTTTATAGCGGCATCTGTATTTTTGTTTGGTTTTTTCCAGTGCTTTAATTCCCACAGGGTTTGTCAAAGAAACTTTCAACAATACTGCTAGAATTCTAAGGATTTTAAAAAGCACACCTCTCTACAAGGGAAGCTGACCTCTTTCTCTGGAGATGTTTCGGATGAGTGAAAAAACAAAGTGGAGATAAGCAGCAAGCTGCAAAGGCATTAAAAGTTAATACTTGGAATCCACATTACAAGGCATTGCCACAAACCAAAATGAATCACAACCATGAGTGCATGGTAGGATTTGAAGTTTTGATGTACCAAGACAGGAAAGCATGCTGGGGTTAGCTAAGGATCGAAAGGCTGCAATTATTGATAGTAATGACTAAGGTCACCATAAACTGGAAGTGCACACCAGGAGTGTCCAAACTTTTCAAGCTGAGGGCCAGTTCATGGTCCCTTAGCCTGTTGGGGGGCCAGACTATAATTTGAAAAAAACATGAACTCATTCCTATGCACACTGCATATGTCTTATTTGTAGTGCAAAAAAACCCCATGAAAGAACAATATATAAAATGAAAAACAATTTTATCCAACATAAATGTACCAGTCCTTCCCTGCAAAGTGTGGGCCTGCTTTTGATTGATGAGAGGGTCATGTTAATTAAGATTGTTGTTGTTGTGTGCTTCAAGTCATTTCAAACAGTGGCCTCTGAGTCAGAGGCAGCCCTAAGTAATTTTCAATGGTAAGCAAACAGTATTCCCCCCCCCCCACCAATCACTGATATATATTTTCTGTTCATCATGCGAGTTCTGTGTGCCATATTTGGTTCAATTCCATCATTGGTGGAGTTCAGAATGCTCTTTGATTGTAGGTGAACTATACATCCCAGTAACTACAACTCGCATATGTCAAGGTCTATTTTCCCCCAAGAGCGCCTCAAGAGCGCCCCTGGGCAAAATCAACTATACTGCAAATGCTTACTTTGCGTAATGGGTTGAGCCGCCCCTGCTCTGAGTCTTGGTGGAGTTTCCTTCTCTTGAAGGTTTTCAGCAGAGATGGCATGGCCATCTGTCGACAGCACTTTGAATGTGTGTGTGTGTGTGTGTGGGGGGGGGGGCTTGGTGGTTCAGGGGCCCGGAATGGGTTAATAACATTTCAATGGGAAATGAACCAATTAAACTCTTCAGTCAAGGCATCACTCGTATGTATATCCTACTTTTGCACTGAAGGAAAGTCAAAATAGTAGACAGTGTTGTTAGTTTTTTGAAATAACTCCTTTAGGGCCCCTCTACATTGCCATGTAACACAGTTTGAAACTGCATTATATGTCAGTGTAGATGCCTCAGTCTGATGGACTTTTCTTCTCAGGAGGATTTTTAGCAGAGGTGGCATTGCCATCTGTCGAGAGCACTTTGATTGTGGTGGTGGTGTTTGGGTGGCCAGAACGGATGAATAGCACTTCAATGGGAAATTTGCTTTGAGATAAGAGTGTTTTGAGTTAAGAGCCCAGTCACAGAACAACTTAAACTCTTAAGTCAAGGCATCACTGTTATTTATATCCTCTTTTCCACTCAAGGAAAGTCAAAATGGTAGACAGTGTGATTAGTTCTCTGAAATAACTCCTGTAGGGACCCTCTACTTTGCCATATAACACAGTTTGAAACTGCTTTATATGTCAGTGTAGATGTGGCCAAGGGCACAAAGAACTTGATCCAGTAGAAACTGGCCTGGAAGTGTTGAGTT